GAATCCCTGCACCTGCGGCCCAGTACCCAGCAGGCCCAGGAAAGGATGCTGAATGTTGCTGCAAAGACAGCCCAGTCTGCCCAATCCACACCTGCTAGCTAGGAGGGGCCCTCACCCCAAAGGCAAGTGAGCCAACTGTTAACACCTGAAATGGTGGAGTCGGGGGGCCTGGGCAGCCAGCATCCTCATTACAATAGTACAGAGGAAGAAACCAAGGCAGAGTACTTGCGCACTATCACCTTCAAGACAAGTGCCTGAAGTCATCACCTTCAGGACAGGTGCCTGAGACCATCACCCTCAGGACAGGTGCCTGAAGTCATCACCTTCAGGACAGGTGCCTGAGACCATCCATCACCTTCACGACAGGTGCCTGAGACCATCACCCTCAGGACAGGTGCCTGAGACCATCACCTTCAGGACAGGTGCCTGGAGTCATCACCCTCAGGACAGGTGCCTGAGACCATCACCGTCATGGCAGGTAGCCCCTCAGCACACAGTGGGGAGGGCATCTTATCCCACAGCCCTGACTCCACTCTCCGGTGCTCTAGCCTGAGCCCCAGCACTAGCGCAGAGCAGGACTTCCCCTCCTCCTGGACCTCCTGGCCTCAGCCTCACCAGGGGCTTTCACACTAGAGAACAGAGAACAGCAAGTATTCCTGATTATCAAGCATCACTTGGCCTAACAGATCCAGATCAGGGAGGCCAACAGCCTGCAGACAACCCAGGCCCCGGGTCTGAGCAGCCCAGCTCCAGCAGGGACTTGTGTGATGGCCTGAGGGCCGGGCTCTGTCCTCTCTGCAGCAGTACCTGCCTCGGGCCTGATTTTCCTCAATTAAAAAAAAAAGTAGTGGCCTTCAAACCAAACCCCTCAAATAAATGTTTAAAAACTATGTTTCTATTTGCACATTTTCAAGTTGACATCTAAAATATCTCATCATAAGTTTAAATACTTGTGGAGGATGTAATTTCCAACATATTGTAAATATTAACATTTCAAAATAAAACTGTTACTGTTTCTCTTTTAAATGGATCTAATGGAATCTAAATATCATAGCAATTTGAGATCAACTACCATCCATCTTAAAATCACAGAATTAGACTCTTCTTAAACACCTGGAGAGTTAGCCCGTGTGTTTGGTCTACTCCCATTTCCAATCCACATCCCTCAGAGGTTTCCACTGTCAGTGTTTTATGTTGAAGGCCTTTTATTGATTACTCTATTGCACTACTAGGCAAAAAATAAAAAAATAAAATAAAATAAAATAAATAAATATATATATATATATAGTTTAATGTCTTAACTTTTTAAAATTTCACGTGACCATGAAGCTCTAAGTGTCAAAATTTTTCTTCTGGACAGACTTATTATCACAATAACTAACAGTACGTAACTGATCAATACAACAGAAATACATTACAAATTTTTATAAGTAATAAGCACAAAAAAGTCAAACCTTGTTAGAATACATCTCAGAAGAGATGAATGGAAAATTTTTAACTGCTTCCTGTATCCACAGATGGATATCACCTATTGCTAGAATAAGACTGAGTTTATTATCAATTCTATCTCCATTTTTCAATTTTTATAGCTATAAGTGCTGAGACCACACATTCAAATAAACAAGATGAAATGGAAAGAGATTTACCACAGCATTCTCTGAATTCCTTCAGAATTGTATGCCAAGAATTACAGAATTTATTATCAAAAATCATTGTTAATGTTCTATAGCTGACAATTCAATCAAGTTCTCTTTCGGTTTCACTACAAGCCATGAACTGGAAGTCCCTCACTTGCCCCAGGATTATACTGACAACCTCGTGACGCCCAGAGGTTTTATGCCCCATGTCACACACCAGACTCACATCTGATATGAGAGGGTGCGGTTCTCCTGTAGACAACCAGCTCCCCGTGCGCCAGGCACCACACCTACCGCGTTACCCGAATTAACTCCACTAGGCCTAGCAACGATCCCAGGGGACAGGTACCATTATCATGCCATTGTACAGATGGGCAGACTGAGGCACCGAGCAGTCAGACAACAGGCCCGAGGTCACACAGCCAGAACGTGAACCCAGGGATCTTGCTCCCCACCCCTTGGCACTCGGCCTCCGCAGAGAGGGGGGACCGCTGTGAAAGAGGTGGCTGAGGAGGACAGTTTCCACGCTCCTTCCCCAGCAGGTCAGCTGTGGGAACGAGCACGAAGAGGCTGAGGAGCTGCAAAACTGACTTCTTAAATGTGCTCCCACCACCACTCTGGGGAGGTTACACATAGAGCAGGAGAGAGAGAGGGAGGAAGAGAGAGAGAGAAACATTGACGTGAGAGAGACACATCAACTGGTTGCCACCCAAATGACCCCAACCGGGGCCAGGGACAAACTGCAACCGAGGTACGTGCCCTTAGCGGGAACTGAATCCTGGTCTCTCTGGTCCGCGGGCAGACGCTCTAACCGCTGAGCCAAACCAGCCAGGGCACACGTGCTTCTTTGAAGTAAATGCCATTAATGCCTGGCACTCCAAAGTACCCAGTAAATGTGAAACATGCATATTGTCACTATTGCCATTTAACAGCAGGAAGAGAAATAACTCCCATGACAGGGACAAACACCGCAGATCTAACCAGTGTTTTAGTCTTCATTCGTCATAGGCCCCCAAATCCTTTTTAAACAGCAGCCAACCCCCAGGTAATAACAGGCCTGTAAGCATTTAGTAAACGGAGTAATCAATGCAGGCTGTGGAGACAAACAGACCCGCATTCAAACCCCAACTCTAACCACGAACCAGCTGAGTTCCTCAAGAGAAATCACATCTGAGCCCCAATTTCTATATCTCTAGAACAGACCTAAAGACACCACCCACGTCACCAGATGGCCACACAGAAGGGGAGCATGCCCCTCAGGGCACCTGACACAGGAACTACTGGGTGGTGGCAGGTGGCATGAATATTTCCCCCTCTTCAACCACTGACACCTAGTGACTGGCCAGCCGCCAGCCGCCACCAGCCTGGGGATCTGGCGTACAGAAGCCTGGGCGATTTTGAAAAACCAGCAAAGTGGGTTCGCTTCCAATTTTTGCCAAGAGACTTTCTCTCTGGCTTGAAATTTCAAGTTCTCCAAACACTTGGGGATGCCAGGAGGAGGCGAACAGAGAGGTGTCGAGGTGGGTTTTATTTTTAGATGCTGGTGTAGAAAGTATCCGGTTTGGCTTCATTCTGGTCCCCAACCACCACTTCCTCCCCAAGGCATCAACAAAGTGAACGGCAGACACATCAAGAAAGATTGCGTAACTTTCTGCCTGGTACATTCTAAAACAATGGCTCCAGTATCCAGTTCCAGCCACAGACTAAGTGGATTAAAGGTTTTAGTCTAAATCTTCCTGGGGAAGCCATACAAATCGAACACACTGACCCCGGATTGTCCCTCACACCATGAAGCTCCAGGGTCTCCTCCCTCCCATGGTGGGGGTGGCATCCCACTGTGCCCTGGTCTGGGATCTGCAGGAACAGGAATCAGATACTGGGGGACAGGCACAACTCTTCCCCTTCTAAGCAGTGTGTTGGTTGGTGAGCTCCTATAAAGTCACTTCCTCTAAAAATGGGTCCCGACAGAAATTTCCTCATGGACCCTGAGGCTGGAGCTAACCTCAGGGAAGCACTTGGTCTTTCACATATAAGCACCAGCTATGGGTCCAGGCCTCAGTGATGGGTACAGAGCATCTGCAAAGGAATCAGGGCCTCTAAGGTAACTATCAGAAGGGACTACGAGACAAAAACAAGCCAAAGCATCCTGGAGCAGGAACAATTTGAGACACCTAGACCCAAATGACAAACGTACAACTGCGTCCCCTCTGCCCACTGCAGGACCCCCACCCCACCCCCCGCTGCCCTCCACCCCCCCACCCCCACCCCACAGGCATTATCAATCAATCCTTGCTCTCAGCCATTCACAGACTGAGAATCCTCCAGGCAACCACTGCCAATGGATCAGAAAGCCCTGAAAGTAAACTTCCAGCCATCCCTGAATTCCGACTTCCCCCTGTTGATGTTTGGAGAAATTAGGGCACAGAAAAGCTCAGTGCAGATCGTGCACCTTTGCAGAGACAAGATAAGCCTAGAGGGAAAAACCTAGATCTGATGAGGAGGCTTCCAGGAATTACTGCCTCCTTCAAAACAGACCTCGGCCTCTGGGTGACAAGTTCAACCCACAAGCTGCAGAAAAGGCAGACCAGAAAGAATTCAACAGCCCCTCCCCAAGGCCGCTAGACAGTCCGCTCCACTTCTCCAACCACCCCCACGGCAGGGAAATACCAGTAGGTTTATTTCAGGTTATTTCAGGGCCACAGAGCCAGCTCAGGCCCTGGGAGAGCTTCTCTCCATCCATCCTTCCTTCATCCTCCCTCCTTCCTTCCTTCTCTAGACAATGAGCTCCTGACCCAAGTCCACCCCAGGGTGAGGCCCCATGGGGGTCAGGAGCCAGGGGCCCATAAGGAAGGTCTAGTAGGACCCGACAGCAGAAAAGGGTGGCATGTGGGAGAGTACACACCCTGACTGGGGGCGGGGGACAGGAGTGGTCTTGGAGATGACAGCATTCACAAGTCGGACACAGAAGAGGGATTACCCGCTGAGGGCTGAAAACCAAGGCAGGGGTGGGGGCTCGTGCTCCCGCAGCAGAGCCTGAGGACAGGCACAGATAAACATGGGGCATTAGGACCACGGACATGTGGCTGGGTGGCTATGCCCCCTCACCCTGCCCACCCTCATCCCACTGGGAGCCCCATCTCCCCCCAGCCAGCTCCTTCCACAGACAAAGCCACAGCAACTCCACAAACCTGAGACCACCCGCCCCAACCGTGCCTGGCCGAAGGGAATCAGAGATGCCACAGGGCAGCCGGCCAGGACACCACGCCCACGGAGAGAGGCTGGCGCCCAGACCCAGGGACAGAGGACGGTGAGCGCTGATCGGCCCCAGGCCTGAAAGATGGTAAAGGTAAGGTCTGTACTCACCTGCACGACTTCTATCCCTCGCTTCCTGTGGAGGAAAACACAGAAAACAAAGGTTACTGGGCAGGTAGGAAGCGTCCTTCCAGAAAGTTCCCTACAGCAGCTGCAGGCAGGCGGGGAGGAGAGCCAGGGCTGCACCTCTCAGGCCATGCTCCCCAGAATGGCCTCACCTTCAAGGGGAGGTCTGTGAACTTCCAGCCAGTCCTCAAAGCCACCTTCTTGCAGAAAGAAAGGGTTGGTTCCCAAGGACTTAGCCAGAGCCCTACAGAGACCCCAATTTGTTTTCCCCACAGCCAGCCATCTCCCCCTTCACCCGGGGCCGGTCGCTGGTCAGCGCAGCTCCAGCCTGGACAGCCCAACACCCTCCCGCCTCCCTCCCAATGGCTGCTCACACCCTCGGCCTGGCCTGCAGGTCTGCTCCAGCCTGTCACACACACTGCAGCCCAACCACTCTGCCCCAAAACCTTCAGTCCTTCCCCGCTGCTGTCCACTCCTGGCCATCTCTGGCCCCCACTGACACCCTGTCCCCCTCTGACCCTGGTTCAACCATCTCGGCCTCACCAATACCCCCCAAGCCCGGCCCTGTCTCCCTCTCTCTCCCCCACAATCCCATGGCCTCTGGTCTCCAACACCAGTGCCCCGACTCGGCCACCCCATCACAGAGCCTGCAGTGGGGGTCTCCACAGAGCACACACAGGCTCCTTGCCGACTCGCTTACCTTGACCTCCCCCACCCCCCATTCCTACTGCAAGCAGGGCTACAGGGCCGGCTCACATCCCTAAGCCTCGGTCCCACCTTCCACCCCAGCCTTTAGGGCTCGGCTCAGACAGAAACATCCCGGCACACCCTCACCCCACCTGCACAGAGCCAGACGCTCCTGGGAAGGGAACTGGGGTACCACTATCCCGGCCACTGTTCCGGAATATTGACAGGTTGTCACTCAGGGGAGTGCTGAGAGGGCACAAGGTCTATACGAACCATAGATGGCATGCCAACCTCTGTGCCCACGTGCATTTCCTGGGAAAAGGCTGGGCCTCCCACAGACACTCAGGGCTGTGACCAGGAGCAGGAACTGTGTGTGCCCTATGCCCAGCCATGGTACCCACCTGGCATAGAGATGCTCTGTAAACCTAAGTATGTAAACTTAGTTCCTATAAAACTCAGTTCCTGTGCCCAGCCCAGCCAGGCACTCAGGGGGCACAACAAATGCAACAGCCACAGCCTGTGCCCTAGAGGAGCTCATAGACTAAGAGCGGAGGCAGCCAAACACCCTCGGGGACTCCTCCTCAGGCAACAGTGAGCAGGCGTCACCGTGTACAGCACAGCTGAGGGGTCACCTACCAGTCTGACATTTATTTGTTGGTTAGCTCCTTCAACGGTGCTTCCCAGCCTCCCAGAGCCTGGCAGGGAATGGAACCTCACAAGGAAGCCACTACACGAGACAGCAAGACAGCAAAGAGGGCGCCAGATCACACTGTGGGATGTGCCCGGCCGACTGCCCCTCCACCCCCAACTCCTCCACAGAACCCCCAGCCCAAACCCAATTTGAAAATCACAGTGGCTGATCCAGGGGTCCACACCATCACACAGCTTCTTTGCAGTTCTGGAAGGAATGGTGGCCAATACCCATCTGCTTGCATGAGTCCGCGAGGGGACAAACTGAACACAAAAGCACAGCCCTGGGCCACCAGAGCCCATAGCAGGGGTCAGACAGCAGCACCAGGACTAGGCCAAGCCCAGGCACCAGCTCACAACCCAACTGGGGGCCCTGCCCACTGCTAGGTCGCCCTGGCCCCATAGCAGCAACAGTGACAGTGAACCGGCACGGTCAGTGGGCATGCCGCTGCAGCCAGCCAGGCGGGGCTCAGTGCACCTTACCCTGCCCCTGCCCTGCCCCTGTACAGTTGAGGAAGGAGTTCCCAGGAAAGCTCCAATGAGACTGGGAGCACACAGTGGGAGAGACAAGGACAGTGAAGGAGCGGAGGACAGGTGTGCGTGACCCGCGCCAGGTGCAGAGGGCTCCCACTGTGTGGCCAGGGCCCCCCAGCTAATCCTCCAGGCATTCAGATTATCCCTTTGTGCCTGTCATTCTCCTCATGAAGCCAAAGGTCATTTCCACTCTGCATATGTGACATCATCCCAGACAGCTATCCATCCCCCCATCCTGAAAACAAACAGGTCTCTAACTTTCAAAACAGATGGAACCCATACAAAAAAGAAACAAAGTAATGCTGAGAACAGACAGGCTGAAAACCTTAAGTAGGGTTGATCTCCCAGGAGGAAGAGCACAGTTCCTCCATAGCTCAGAGCTCCAAGAACAGGGGAACTTGTAATCCTGGCAGAAAAGAGGGGGCTCTGCTCCCCTTTTGATCCAGGCCCTACCACGTGCACTAGACCCCCTCGATGGTGTAAGAGCCAAGGCCCCTGGTGCCCGCTGCACGGACACCCTCCACAGCACTGAGGGGGGGCAGTGCTGGCCCACTGTCCGGATGAGCAGGCTGAGAGGCCCTGCGAAGGGCAAGCCTGGCCTGCGCACTCCAGGGCCATGGAGTCATGAGGAGACGAGGAGGGGCAGGTGAAGAGCACCTTCCCTCCCACGGTGGGACCACACTCGGTGGGACCACACCCGCAGCACGGCAGCCCGTTCGGGGAAAATAAACCTGCCGGCTCCCTTCTGGTTAGGAACTCCTCTAGCACAAAGGTACCCACAACCTTAATTTCCCAGACAGCAGACTCCTGACATTCCAGACATGACCAGGAAGTCGGGACGCGGAATGGCATCCCAAAGGTGGGAGAGAGAGAGGTGGGGAGGGACAAGTAGGCGGGAAGGGCCCAAGGGAAGAGAAACCAGGGAGCTGGTGGTCAAGCGATTAACTGCTCCTCATGGAAACCCCAACTCCAGGATCGCACCCCAAGACATGCGAATACGTGCCAAGTGTTTCAGGCAGTGGCTGTCAACTGCCACACCGTGAGGGCAAAAAACCCGTAGTGACCTAATCGCCCCCCAAGAAGGGACACACACAGCCAAGGAATACTAGGCGGTTGTTAAAAAGAACAAGGACATGCCCTGGCCTGTTTGGCTCAGGGGTTAGAGCGCCAGCCTGAGAACCAGAGTCTCGGGTTCGATTCAGTTGGGATTCGGTCCCCAGTCCTGGTTGGTGTCATGAAGGAGGCAACCAATCGATGTGTCTCTCTCACATGGATGTCTCTCTCTTTCTCCCTCCCTCCCTCCCTCCCACTCTATCTGAAGACAAATGGAAAAGTATCCTCGGGCGAGGATTTAAAAAGGAGAGAAAGAAAGAATGGGGAAGCTCCAGGCACAGTAAGGCATCAGTTATCCGTAAGATACTGCCACGTGAAAACGCGAGGTGTCAAACCCCACGTGCACAGCCATTATCTGGCTAAAGGCAACACCAAGTTCACAGAATGAATCTGAAAGCACTGCAAGAAAATGGTCGCGGGGTAGCCTCTCGTCAAGGGCAAGTGTGGCTGGAGGGGGAGGGGACTTCCTTTTCACTGTGCACTCTTGGGCACCTTTGAATTTTGTGCCATGGGCCTCTAATATCATCTCAAAAACTAGCAAAATAACTTTTTTTGAATTATCTTTTAAGTGACAGGTAAAACTCTAGCGTAAAGCAGATGCCTGATAACGACATGAATCAATCGACTGATTGATGAAGTGAAGCAGAGAGCTTGAGATTTATCTAGGAAAGCTTCCAAATTCTCAAAGAGCAGCTGCAGTAACACCATCCTGGGGCCATCAGACCGTCACGCGGGGACATTCAGTTCGCATTCTGCGCCCGCGCACGGACGGGAACCTGGGAAGAGGCGAGGGCGCTGCGTGCATCCCCCGTGCTTCCTCACAGTTTCTAGGCTTCTACATGGACACAGGTGTTTCTCCCAAATAACAGAAAAAGTAACACAGAAAGTTAAGTTAGATAAAGAATTGTATTTAAAACCTGCACCTAGAGAGAAGTTTACAGGCTCTAAACTCTCCTTTTCTTGACAAATACTGCATTCATAAGTTAGGACAGAGGTCTACCCCACAACTCATAAATATAAACCTGTTTTTCCAAAAACTGCAAAACCACAGAAGGGAGGCTCCATTCTGCAAAAGGGCACGCCCCCTCCAAGTCCAAGAAGAGTGCAGCCATGGGGAATATAAAATACTCATTTACAAAACAAACTATCCTTCCAGGGGAGGAGGAGCAGCGGAGAAGGCTTCACAGAGGAGGCAGAGTTTGCCATTTGAACAAAAACTGAGGGGAAACTAGAGACAGGCCTTGGGAGGGAAGTGAAAGATGGATGACATAAGGAGTCCCTGCTTCCCAAAAGAAGTCCGGGGGCGTGGGAGCGTAACACTCGGGAGAAGGCAGGCAGAGCGATGAGAAGTGGGGTAGAAGACCCGGGCCGGCCGGGCCCCAGAGGCCCAGAAGGGCACGGCACAGCCTGGCCTTTACCCATGGGCCCTGGGCTCCAAATGCCACTAAGAATCACCACTGGAGCTTGTCAACATCACTAACTTGAGGTCCAGTCCTGAAGAGTGGAATTCCGGGCGGGGGATGGGGGTGGGGGTCAGGTCCTGTCGAGCACCCAGGGGCTGCTCAGAAGCACCCAGGCATGGGACCGGCTGCTAGTCGCCAGGAGCCACCCCTCGTGCTGCTGGTAGCAGGGCCAGGTTCGCTCGAGGGGAGAGGGGGAGCTGGTTTCATTCCGGGGCAGCCCTTCCAGTCTTGAGAACAGGAGTAAAGAGCGCAAAATCACCAGTAGTCGCTGTGATGCTCACACTCTGGGCACAGGTGGAGACCACACCAGCCCCAGGAGAGGACAGCAAAGTGCATCTCACGAGAAGCGGTCATGTTTCCATGTTGTCGCCACGGTGGTGCAGGCTGTGGTTAGAAGCCCGGGCTGAGCTGAGCAGGCAGTTCAGGAACTGTCTAATAGAAATGGAAGGGGTGGGGTACATCCCCAAAGGACTGTACCTTGTGCCTCAGTCTCCTCATCCGTCAAGGGAAGAGAATCCTCAGA